ACGCGGCCAACTGACAGCCGTCTGGGCTGTCCGCTGCCCGCGTGTTCCGCCGCTTTGCTTCCTCTCCCTGGTCTGCTGGAGACCAGGGAGAGGGAAGGCCCCGTTCGTAACTGCGGATCCAACGTAAGTCAGATCCGCGTAACTCGGGGACTGCCTGTACTCCAGTTCCTGCGATCAACAGTAGCTATGTTGGCAGGAGAAGCACTCCAGCTAACACAGCAGTGTCCACATCCCTGCATTTAGGTCAGTATAACTTACATTGTTCAAGAACATGTGGTTTATTCACTCCAACTTAAGCATATGGGGCACAGTGCCTGAGAGGGAAAGTTCCAAATTGGAATAATACAGATGAAAACCAACTGAAATAGGATCAGCTGTGACAAAGGGACACTAGTAGCAACAGTAAGGAACACTGGACAGAGGTGAATATTAGGGATGTAAAATCCCATTTAATTTGTTAACCAGTTAAATGTGAAGTTGAATCAGTTAACCAATTAAAGGGAGGGGTGCTCCCCGCTCAGCCTCACCCACCACGGCAGGGCTAGAGCAGCGCCCCCCTGCCAGAGCTTACTGAGCTTCCCCTTACTGAGACTCACCGGGCCTGCTGCAGACAGGGGTGCTACCAACACTCAGAGTAGCCCTTGCCTGTGACACTCCGGGCTCGCCATGGACATGAGCTGGAGCAGCCCCAGCCTACAACACACCAAGGCTGCCATGGATAAAAGCTGCCCCGGATGCTCAGAGCAGCTCCTGTCCATGGTGGGCTCTGATGCTGGAGCAGGGAGTTAATCTTTCACATTCCTAGTGGATATAATTTCTGAGGCAGACAGAATCAGGTATGTGAAGAATTTCAGGATAATTCTCAGAGAGTCAGCAAAGGCCAGGAACCCAGAAATGGTGACTGTTGAACTAGAGAGCATTCCAAATGTGGAGTTGAAAAGCAGGGATTTAGGAAGATCATAAGAGGAAAAAGCATTTATTGAGATGTGAAGTGATTAAGGAATTTATCTCAGCAGAGAGAGGATAAAGATAGGGAAGAAGACAGGAAAGAAAAATATGGAAAGAAAATAAACAAAATGTAGTCAGATTACAAGGTTTCTAGTAGAGGCATACAGTTAAAGAGAAACCTTATAGATTCAAAGACAAAGAAGGTGTTTTACTCCAAATATATCTGGGAGATATAAACATTTTAATATAATTAAATATATTCCCACCTACAAATTACAGAGTGGCCATTGAACAAACTACATTTTACTTTTTGTAAAGTCTTACACTTCATTTAAGAACTTTACCTTTCATTCACAAATATCTGAACTGGAGTAGAGTACAGAAATATTGCAGATGTCACTGTGGTCAAAAGAACTTGAACTGAAAGAATACTATACACTTTTCGTAGAAAAGCTGAAATAAAGAAACAAAAATGACATGTCAACTTTGAGTACTCTGTTGAATCACATTTAAAGTAGACAGCGAATTAAATCTGAGTTTGCAATGTGATATAGAGTAGAAGCAACAGAAACTGATATGATTATTGAACTACATAAAAATATATCACAGAATAAAAATGGTAGCAGTACTTTCCCCAGGAAACTCTAATGCACCTGCATGGTATGTGGAAATATAACAAGCTGGACACAGCTATAAACTAGACTGCTGAAAAAATCGTGCATTCGCAGAGACATAGTCCCAAATGACTTCAGTTTACTGAATATGTTTATTAACAGACCCACATGTTTAAAGCAATAAAGTCTCTTCATATTAGTAGCCTTCTGTCACTACCCGAATTCTTAAGGTCAAGAAAAAAATATCTGTTTTTCTACACCTATAGTAGCTGTTTTTCCCCTCATTCAAAACTTCAAATCTCTGACAAAACTTTTAAAAAATTATTCTAGTTCTAGAAGCCAGATTAGACATTTATGTTTCCTCCATAGCCATGCTTGAAGTTCAAACTGATTATTAGTAAATAAATCAACTAGTGAGACAAAAGTCAAATCTCAATAGAAGAGAGCACAGTCTCTCTCCTGTGTTCCGATAAGAGACAGTATCTCAAACATGGAGGCTGTGTCTAGACTGGCCAGTTTTTCTGCAAAAGCAGGTGCTTTTGCAGAAAAACTTGCCAGCTGTCTACACTGGCCGCTTGACTTTCCGCAAGAACACTGACGATCTCATGTAAGAAATCAGTGCTTCTTGCGGAAATACTATGCTGCTCCCGTTCGGGCAAAAGTCCTTTTGCGCAAAAACTTTTGCACAAAAGTGCCAGTGTAGACAGCTCAGATTTGTTTTCCACAAAAAAGCTCCGATTGCCACTTTCGCGATTGATCGGAGCTTTTTTGAGGAAAAGCGCGTCTAGATTGGCACGGATGCTTTTCCACAAAAGCACTTTTTGCAGAAAAGCATCCGTGCCAATCTAGACGCTCTTTTCCGCAAATGCTTTTAACGGAAAACTTTTCCGTTAAAAGCATTTGTGGAAAATCATGCCAGTCTAGACGTAGCCGGAGGGTGAAATTCACCCTTGAACAAAACGCCAATGCAAGGGCCTGTGTCCTGCTTAACCTGGATTTAAGTGATACATCAACTTCCTACAGACTCTGCACAACTATATATTGTATTCAATAAATTAAGTGTGTGTGTGTAAAATATAAATTAAAGCTATAACTATGCCGTGATGGATTAAGGAGATGGGATAGCAGAACATTCCTCTTACATGAATCTTAAGAATTATATCTGAATCCACTTTTGATAATAAAACAAGCTCACCTTTCCCGAACTGTACTCATCCTGGATAAGTGCTGTACCCTAGACTGGGTACTACGAGAAAACCTATTAATCAAAACAACCTACTGAGGCCTACTGAAAGGCGCTGGATTACAATGTCTGCGCCTCAGTCTGTAGCCTGATCCAGGCAGGAGATAGAAAGCGAAAGAGCCAAAGCCGAGCAGACCAGTGGGGTGTTTACAGTCTGTGCCAGCGGAGGGGAAGCAGCAGAGCGAGGCCCGCAGGGGATTTCTGCCCTGATCCCAGAGTGTCGCCCACCACGCTCCCGGGGCAGCGGGGGGAAGGGAACGGAGGAGCCCAGGCTAAGGGCGGGGCGGGAGCCGCAGGGGCGCCCCACAAGCGAAGGGGTCCGGGTCTCACCCATGCGGATGTGCACACTGGCCGAGGCCACGTTGCTGCCGTAGTTGAAGTCATCCTCGATGGACGAGCGCGGGTAGCGCGGATCCTCCGCCGCCGCCTCCATCGCCACAGTCCACGGCCCGGGCGCCTCTAACCGTCCGACTGCGGTTGCGCCACCCACGTCCGCTCACCGGCTTCCGGGTGAGACAATCGAACCCCGAGACGCCGAGCCAGGCGCGGAACCGCCGAGAGCATCGATCGCAGGGCAGCGAGAGCCCCGCCCGCCTGCTGGCGCGGGGAGCTGTGGGCAGGTGGCTCTAACAACAGCCCTTGCGCCCTGCGCTCGCGTTCGTGTTGCGCGACTGCGGTTGCGCCACCCACGTCCGCTCACCGGCTTCCGGGTGAGACAATCGAACCCCGAGACGCCGAGCCAGGCGCGGAACCGCCGAGAGCATCGATCGCAGGGCAGCGAGAGCCCCGCCCGCCTGCTGGCGCGGGGAGCTGTGGGCAGGTGGCTCTAACAACAGCCCTTGCGCCCTGCGCTCGCGTTCGTGTTGCGCGGCGCGTCTGCTGCGGGCCGGGTGTTTGCCCCGCCCCCATTTGGCCATAAAACGCTTCTTTGCAGCACCAGGC